GACATCGGCCATCAAGTCATCCAAATCGACTTAACTTCTATTCTCTAGTCATTTTTTCGATGAACGGTTGACGAGATAATCCACAAAAGTTTCTACTGGTGAATATGGCAGATTTAGGGGCAGATCCCATTTCTTGGTTGGCTTTGGCTGGTTGTTCCATCGCTGAAAAGTTACTGAGATCGCGGAATGACTGCGCCACCTTCCAATTTATCTCGAAGTAGTTAAGCCTAATTTCGCGAATATGCGGATTGTTTTTTGAGTATATTCTTGTAGAGGAAATCAAGTAGATCATTTCTAGAAAAAGCCCGAACTCAATAGTTGAACATTTTCGGGAGAAAAAAAGCCGCGAAAAAATCCGCAATAATTATGCATCAACCTAATAGCTTACCAGTAATCATCGAATTTTTTTCCTAAGCAGATTCACCAGGCAAAGACGATCTGGGAACGTTTATTGATGACAGAGTACTTAATAGATAGAATTCTGCACTTTCTCACTATACTATTCTGGAGGCAAAAATCAAAAGCATGGACCGAAGCGTCTGCACAATCGCGGCCTAATCCGTCTTTTTTCATCGCCACTACTATCACCGAATCCTGATGAAAGCATAGTTTGGGGAAAGAACTTATGCCCCTAAATCTGCGGCATCCAAGTATCCTTACTATATATAAAGCGCTCTGTCTGTCTGTTTGTACGGAAATTCGATATAACCTGAAGAAACACCTGGAGAAGTCGGGTCAAGTTCGAAATGGGTTGAGCATTGAGTAGGTGCAACAGAGCACATGTGAGCCTAGCGGAGCTCCGCCCCAAAGGGGCGGGGCATGCGCCGACGCGGGTGGGACTATAAGCAAATTCTCCTCATTCGGCCTCATAACAGTCCAGACGCCGGGAAAAAATGTGCAAAGGTGAGGGATGGGTTGACAATTAAAATAAAGGAAACTTGCCGGCGGTGGGCGGGGCGTTCTCGCAGTGGGCGGCACTTTCCGCAGAGATTCATAACTCGATTCTGCAAAGGCGTCAAAATCGGGAAAAAAGTAAAAAGAGTGAGCAAGGCCTTATGCGTGCTAGGCATGCGTAAGCTTAGCGAAGCCCCGACCACGATGGGCGGGGCGTGCGTTGAGGTGGATGCTACTCTTTAAAAACGACTGTAACTTCGTTCAAAAACCTTCTAGAACGTGGGAAAAACGTGGTTAGAGGTAATGGGACAAATTTGGTCTAATACCCGGAGTGGGCGGAGCTGGCACCGAAGTGGGCGGGGCTTAGATCAAAATTCATAACTCTGTTCAAAAACGTTCTAGAACGCGGGAAAAAAGTGGTAGGAGGAATTGGAACAGATAAAGTTAAGTCCCCGAAGGGGGCGGAGCTGGCACTTGGAGCGGGGCTAGGACCAAAAACTCACCTCTTCAAAAACTTTCTGGAACGCGGAAAAAATGGTTTGGAGCAGTCAAAAGAAGGGTTGCCAAGTTTGCTGTGGGAAGGGTTCGCACTAAGGTGGACGGAGCTATGATCAACCACTAATAACTCTGCTCAAATATATCGAGCGTATGCTCTCAGCAGTTCAGCGTTCGAATCTAGAGAGAACTATGTTATTCTGATTGTCCAACATTCCGCTGAATGACTCCATCGTGAATAAGTGGCCGTCGATATATACTGCGCGTGTTAGCAAGCATAGCCAAACTGGTGCTATATACGGCGCTCTTAGATCGGAAACAGCCTAGATAGGGCGTGATAAATACTCAAACAATGTACCCACTACATGCCACATCCAGAAGCGGACGAAGTTAAGGGCGTCGTAGAAGCTGCATAAGCTGGATAAGGATAAGGATTCTAGCAATGTATCCGCTACATGCTATATCCAGGGTGTTTTTATCCAGTTTAAAGAGCGTTGTAGAAGCTGCACTATTCACAAGAGACCCACCTGTTGTAAAATTGAACAACTAGTCGTGACCCATGTCAACAGCCGAAAACGCCTCAGAGTTAGAGCGTCAAATGTGGGCAGGGGTACAGGCGGCAAGATGGGAGTACTGAAAGTAGTTAGCAGGACGGGTCCCAACCATCAGAGCTGAGGTGTGCGTGAAATAACGTTGCGTGAGTCAAAGTATGCAACGAAGTTGGATCAGGTTTGGAAAGATGTAATTCACCAAAACACCCTGCTCTGAGCTCGACTCCGTGCTGCGTGAGTGAAAACAACACAAAGCTGGAAGAAAAATCCATGTACTGCTCAAAAATATTAAAGATCGACAGTCTTTAGGATTCAAAACATTTCGGAGAGCGATAGAAATGTGGACACTCTAGCAAAGGGAAAGAGATTAATTGTCGTGGTAAGTTAAGGGAGCACCACTGGGAGGAGGAACAAGAGGGAGAGAGAAAGAGAGGGAAAGAAAGAAAATGAAAGCATGGTGAGCGTTCTCTCATCAAAATAATCCCAGCACGTTTCCAAACAACAAAAAAAACGAGAAAATGAGCCGAGTTACTTAAACACACAAGACATGAGCTCGACTTTGCCTACTATAGACAGCGTAGGTGGGACAAGCGTTATGTGCAAGAAAAATTGCATTACGCTTACCATCAAGGTGTGTAAATTGCAGGATTTAGATGAACCAACGGAAACTCTGGCTTGCTATTGGCACGACGTGAGAGGTGGTATGGTAACCAAAGTGGACCGAGTTTTCCGGTTCGAAAATTTTTCGGCGGTTTGAGAAAACTGATTGGAACCAGCGTGGAAACAAAGTCCAAATTGCACACGGTTGGCGGAATGAGCACTAAAGCGGGCTGGGCTTAGTTAAGAAGACTGTATTCTAACTCAAGAAAATTGACAGCCATGAGAAGGGTGAATATAGGTTAGCAAAATCGCGAAGGTCAAATCTTCGGGCTTGCTGAGGCCGGGAATAGTGTGAAGAGAGGATAAAAAAACCAGAGGTCAAACTCCAGATGCAAGGTGTCTAGCAGCTGGTTACAATGAGCTGGTTAGGGTTGAATTCTACAATCCTGTTCAGAATAGTACACTAGAGCCATCCACGCCACGTCTACTTAGCGTAATAGTGGGAGGAGCTGAAAACCCTGTCTTTCTTGAAGGCGTCCCAGTTTTGCTTACTTTGGATGTAGGGCGTTTACGCTCTGAAGAGGTATGGCTAGTGTAGCGGTGACTATACAATAACT